CGTCCTCCCTGGAGCCGGTTCTCTTCCAGTCATGGCTCACAGATGGTACCTTCCACACTCATTTAACCCTTTACAGACAGGTCATGTGTACAAGCAGAGCATGGGGAACAGGAAGTCCCATTACTCATAAGACTTCCTTACCCACTGTATGGATGTTGCCAGAAATCACCAGAATTTACGATGCTCAGGGAGTTGATGCCCATTGGCATCAGGTTAACAATGGAAATAATACAAGACAGAATCTAGTATCTCTCTAAATCTTTCTGCACTCATGGCAAGTCATTACTGTTACCCTAGCCCTCAGCCAAATTTTCCCAAGGCACACACCCCTCAAAAATTTCCATGACATCTTTCAGATTATACGAGTTAGTTTGATAATCATTCTATTCCTTTGTTTCCGAGCTACTCTCTATCATCTGTGGAAGCCAAGTCTTGGTTTCGGCTTAGGAAAAGACAAGTTATATTAGCTCATGGACATGGCTATAACAAAGCAAATCAACCTCATTAAATTTGTGCAAGAATGCTTCAAAATAAAATAAAATGGAAGTCATAAACATACTCTTTCTCCCACTTCTCATCTTATTGTATTGGGATGGAATGACACACATGCATGTGTAAAATCATGGCTTCACAAGTGCTTAACCCCTTGGTGCCGGGTCACGCCGATAGGCGTGTAAACAAAACCGCTTGAAAGCTGGCGTGCAGCCAAACGAGCCGGCAGTGCCCCAAAGCGCGGCGAGCCAGTGATTCGGGTTGACGTCCCGTACTCGCCGCCTTTGTTTGCTAGAGCGTAGAGTTTTTTTTTTCCTTTTGTACACCCGGCGTCATTGGGTTAATCACCAAGGAGTCAATTACTAGTTCTACCTATTTCACCTGTTTACCCTTTTCTTAGATTTTTGCGAAGACTTTTTAATTTAATGGCACTGGGTAATCACACTGTCTACTTTAGTTTTCTTCTGTGAATTTAGTTACATAGAAGGCACCAATTAGTAAGACTACATGTCCTCAGTTGTTATCCCTTTTCTAGAGTTTTCATGAAAATTATTTTAAAACTCTCAAATGCTGCTGACATTATGATTATATCATTTACAATAGTATTGAAAAGTAAAAAACACTTGTGAAACACTTGTGAAGCCATCTATATGTAAAACCAAACAATAAACAAAAAGAGACAGTAGACATGGAAAGCATTTGTGCAATCCTAGCAATACTGGATTATCCCCTTACAGACGGGTTAAGAATTTATATTTCTTAATCTACACTCTGGATATTATTGGCAACAAGCCGACTTTGAGCTCAGGAGTTCGCTACATCAAGGCTCGTAGCATTTTGGCACATCACCGCGGCATACAACCACACTCCACAGATCGAGTGGTTTGTTATGACCTCTCAGCGTGTGGCCCATCAGTATGGGGTTAATAATCACAATATGTCAGTAATAGTAACAGTACAAGTATTGATATTAACAACCCCAGATATAAATGATTTTTCCTGAAAATTGAAGGAATGAGGAAATTAAGTAAGGTTACACAGGCCCTACTAATTAATACTTGTGGAGCCATTGAGTGTAACAAATTTCTTATAAATATACAGTGGAAAGTCCATATACCCACAGCCAATGGATTTATCCCCTTTTAGAAGAGAAGTCAGTATTGAATTGCGAAAATCAATTCATAATACAGTATTTTTACATTACTAGCACTCTATACACTGAAAACAATGAAATATAATTTAGCCTCTTCATTCTGAACACAAAAATTCTTTTTATGACTTTTTTTCCTGAACATAATTATCAATATTTTATCTCAACAATTTTGCTCAGACTGAGGAAACCAGAATAAAAACCCTTACCTCTCTTGGGAAATCTAGGTGGCTGAGGCTGCATAGCAAATGGCTGGGGAGTCATGACGTAAGCTGCTGACATCACTGTTGGCTGGTAACCCACAGGTGGTCCTCCTGCCATCTGTTGCAGCTGGTTTGTTGGGATCTGAGGTGTCTGTGGGGTGTGAGGCCTTGGTGGGGTGGTTGTGCTAGGTGATCTCTGTTAATTGGTTCAAAGAATGAACATTTATAGTCACTGTTTCACCAATTATGAGACAGCGGAATTTGAAATTAAATATTTCTGACAGCCTGCTTACAAAAAATAAAAACAAAAATCATTTTCCTGAAACTAAAATAATGAAGAAATCAGAGTAAAGAAAAAAAAAAAAAAAAAGCATAAATCTTACTAATCTTCTTCTGTTGAGCAACTTTATGTATAATGAAAATGGGTTAACACCCTACTGATCTCAGTGATTCTGAAAATTATTAGAAAATGCATGGCTAATGAATTAAATGCTGCATATGCAAATCCATCAAAATTTAAGATTTATGGAGTTCAAATGGATTAAGTCTCCACGACATCCAAACAATAGATTTAACTTCTATGGGAATCTATCGGGAAAATATTGAAAATGAAAGTTGGATTCTTTTATTCCCTGTGGACTTCTGTCAAAAGTGTAAGAAAAATAACTTGTAAAATACAGTCACATGACCCAAATGTGAAGGTGTTAGTTATCAACATATGAAGGAAAGTGCTCAAACAAAGGAAGATTACACACACAAGCAGACATGCATGCACCCACTGTCATGCCCGCATGCTCACAATTAAGAAAAAAATATATATATATACATGAATACAGGAAACCAAAATAATAAATAAAGCATAAGCAATCAATAACCATGCTTTTCTGTGTATGAGTATAAAAGAGATGGGGTAAGAAAATGAGTAAGAGTAAACTTGAGAGAGAGTGGAGTGAGAGTGAGAGTAAGAGTAAGAGTAAGAGTAAGAGTAAGAGTAAGAGTAAGAGTAAGAGTAAGAGTAAGAGTAAGAGTAAGAGTAAGAGTAAGAAGAGTAAGAGTAAGAGTAGAGAGAGAGAGAGAGAGAGAGAGAGAGAGAGAGAGAGAGAGAGAGAGAGAGAGAGAGAGAGAGAGAGAGAGAGAGAGTGAGAGTGAGAGAGAGAGAGAGAGAGAGAGTGAGAGAGAGAGTGAGAGAGAGAGAGAGAGAGAGAGAGAGAGAGAGAGAGAGTGAGTGAGTGAGTGAGTGAGTGAGTGTGTGTGTGTGTGTGTGTGTGTGTGTGTGTGTGTGTGTGTGTGTGTGTGTGTGTTGCACAGTCATTACACTATATATTGTGAATGCATCTTCAAAACAATATTTTTACTGAATTTCTGAATATCTTGCAAAACATATTTAGTTGGGTAAAAATGTAAGGTTTGCAGCATAATCAGCATTATTCCTTGAAGGAATCTTGGTAACACTATGTGACATGAGGTTGCCAAGTACAGTTATGCTGTAGTTGGCAAACAAATGAAATAAATACACCAGTTGACAATCATCACCATGACCATTGTGAAAATCAGCAAAACAATCTGACCTAGAACATTCAGTACAAAATAATCATGTAGAGGAAATTGCAAAGTTGCTTGTTGTGTGGCCTCTAGACACTTCATTCAAGGAATTCTTAACGCAAAATACATTTAAATTTTCACCATTGATAAAAATCGTACATTTTCTCTTCCTGGCAGCTTTATTTACACTGCATGTTATTTACCACAGACCACCTTTGGCATGTGTCAAACAGAGCTCCGAGGATGGCTCACCTCTTCATTCACCTGTCAACCACAGGTTCTCTTCACCTATCCTCCCTCTCTCCAATATAATTTTCTTTTAACCCTATATGACCCATAAGGCACCTGCCTGCAGTTAAGTGTCCCCCAGATGGGACTCCTAGTTGGTTCCTCCTGACACCCATGTCTTTGAGTATATAATCTCTTTGGAAAGAGTAACAGGTAGTCTTGGTAATGCCATGAGAGTATTGACAATACAGGCTGCGAAAAATCTTTTTTTTTTTTCACTTGTCCAGGAGGACAAGTACACCTGACTTTCCACTCGTCCTCTTCTGAATACCACTTGTCCGAAATATTTATATATATATATTATAAAGAAATTTATCAACTGTGATATATGAAACTAATATAAATAACTAATATATGAAACTAATATAAACAAATATGGCAGCCTCCATAATCATAGAACTGAAAGGAACTAGACCTTGCTAGATTTCATTAATTTTAGGGAAAAATCTACTGGAAATTTTTACTCGTCCATGCGGACAAGCGAGGTAAACATTTTACTTGTCCTCCACAATTTTACACTCGTCAAAAACGTGCGGACGTGGGATTTTTCGCAGCCTGCAATACTCCTATGATTAAACTCCCAAGAGAACAAAGCAAATTGCAGGAAAGCAAGGGGTACACCTGATGTAGATTTGTAACTATTTGAGCATGAATAAGGAGTGAAGAAATAGAAACCAAAGAAAAGAGTAAGAAAATAAAGGCCACCTGAAACAGCGTATATGAGTGTGGAGTATACTGAGCTGTAAAGAGGCAAGAGTGGATGTGATTGGTGTTCCTTTATTCAAGAGTCATATCGTATGATTTTGTATAAATTACATTCATATACTTTATTGTAAAGCTTAATCTTCTTCAGAAAAACATTGAAATTAATATCAATATTAATATCAACATCAACTTTAACATAAGTATCATTATTAGTCATTACCATTACTGTTATTATTAAAATTACAATTATTACCATTGTTATTATAATAACAACAACAATAATAATAATAATAATAATAATAATAATAATAATAATAAAAGAAAGAGCAAAATAACAAGACAAATGGTAAAGATTTGTTGAATAACAGTGTATAGATGATGGTAATGATAATTATATGGTTCACATAAAACGGAATGTCCTATGAAGACCTGCACATGGTATGCAGAGGTATGCTAACCATGACATGACTTACAAACAGAAATTTGGAGAAGGAGGAGCACAAATGCAGAAGGAAATGGAGAAGTGGGAAGGAGAGAGAGGCATACTGTAAAGTTTGCTTTACAAATCCTAAAATTATCTGCCAACATGTCAATTGGAATGACATATCATTATATAATATGGTTATGACTACCATTTGAAAAATAAACTAACTGTAAAACAGAACAGGTGTTGACAAAGATTGTATTGTATTTTACACTATGGATGCCTTAAAAGACTACCATCTTGAGGTTGAAAGATATGCCAATTATTCCATAAATGTAACCTTTTCTTCTTTGACACAGTTATCATGTTTGTACTGAATTATACTAGTCAGTCTTGTGCTGATTTTCACAATAATATTTTACTGTTAGTAAAAAGTCACTTGACATAATTATTCCATACCGACTACCAGCCACAGCATAGAAATAGTAGATCTTTGGTAACCTTACATAACAGTGTTAGCAGGAGCAGAGAACACCTGCAAGTGACTATGCTGGGTATACTGTTGACCTTTTATTTGTCATTGACTATATGCTTGACTGTGCATAAAATGAAGGAACAGGGTTTCTCTTCAAAAACTTTTAAATTAAACTAAAATGAAGACTAAACATAATAAAGAAAATAATCATACTTAACATAAAGTAAGTTTTCAAGCAAAACAAATAATGTTCCATATATGGTTTTACTTACTGGACTGAAGGGCTTTGCATTAGGGTTGAATATAAACTCCTTCGCATTTGGATTCAATTTAGAGTTAGTTACAGTTATCTTCTCCACATCATCATGACTCTTGCTCATGTCAGTTGCTGGGCTCATGGTCATTGGAGGGGGATTCTGCTGGTGATGAGTGCTCTGGGGCACTGCCTGAGGGGGACCAGCAGGGACAGGTGTTGTAACTGGGGAGGTCTGCCTCTGAGGTGGATGCTGCTGGGGAGGAAGGTGCTGAGGTTGAGGCTGAGGCTGCAGCTGCTGCTGTTGGTGATGTTGCTGTTGCTGCTGTTGCTGTTGTTGTTGTTGCTGCTGCTGCTGCTGTTGTTGCTGTTGCTGCTGCTGCTGTTGCTGCTGAGTTGGTGGAGGTGGCTGTTGTTGCTGTGGTGGTTGCTGAGGCTGTTGCTGTGGTGGTGGCGGCTGCGATTGCTGTGGAGGTGGCTGCTGTTGTGGTGGTGGCTGCTGCTGTGGGGGAGGTTGTTGTTGTTGAGGCGGCGGTTGCTGCTGTGGAGGAGGCTGTTGCTGAGGCTGCTGCTGCTGGGGTTGCTGCTGCTGTGGTGGCTGTTGCTGAGGCTGCTGCTGCTGTGGTTGTTGCTGTTGTGGTGGTTGTTGTTGTTTCTTATCAGCCTGATCAATTAATTTGAAGTCCGCACCGAATTTCTTTAAGTCTGCAATCTGTTCATCCTTGTTGGAGCGCTGTTTGCGAGGCTCCCTCTGCTCCCGAGGTTCCGCTTTGCGATGGTCACCCTGCCCCACTGGCGGCATGTGGCTCACATGTTGGTTTGGCTGATGTGAATGCTGTGGAGGAGGCTGCTTCGGCTTCTGCTGTGGCTGATTGGGATGAGCACCATCTGAGTGAGAGGCAGAGTGGTGCTGACGGCCATGAAGTTCTTGTTTGTTACTGTGGTCATTACTATGATGACTCTCTCTGTTGTTCTCACACATGGGACCTTCATGGCTTCTGCGGTCTAAAGTCCCCCCAAAAAAGAAAAGAAAATGTTCTAGTAAACTTAATATCAATAACAAAAAAATTCCCCCCCAAAATTGCCTATATCATCCGTAAGGTTTTTAAAATTTCTAACCAACACTGTATACAACTTCCAACATTACTTATTACTGGGCAATCCTCTACCAAGAATGAATAATTCTACTATGCGCATGGACTGTCAAGCTTTAACCAACTTACCGTAAGAACCTTTTGAATCTCCGTTGACCTTGCCATCTTGAGTATGGGCATGGTGATTGCCTTGGGAGTTATGGCGTTGCACTGCTGGGTGACTTGCTGGGGAGGGACTGTGGGTTGCAGGTGAAACTTGTTGTGGAGGAGGATAACCTGGTGAAGCACCACCAGGGCCACCAATTGGGCTATGGCTGCCAGAACTTCCCTGGGGAGGCCCTGGGTACGATGGTGAGGTGGGTGTGGTCGGGTTGGAACCACCGTGACTGTTGTGTCGAGCGCCCTGAGGTGGTGGTGTTGATCGCATCAACTTGCCACTATTTTGGTTCTTTTTGCGTAACATTGGTGGTACATACTTGCCTCCACATCCTCCACTGCCACCACTAGCTTGATCTGGCCGATATACAGCTGAAAACCTGCAAAGGTGGACACCCAATGTCTTAATGCTTATCTTCACAATATCTTTTTAGTATGAATAGTAATACATTTAACTGCGATATCTGACTACAACTATGCAAAGTTTATCAAACTTCAATATGCATTTTGCAAGATTATCGTCGGAGTAGAAGATAAAAATAGTTACTAACAAACAAAAGCGAGATCATTCACAATCTACATTTTTCCATCTTTCAATCCTAATCCTAGCCTCCTCCCTCTTCCTATCCCCCTCTTTTTCCTAGACTAAGCATTTCTAAACTATCAAACGGCCAATGAAACGCGGCCACACAATCGGATTACATACTTATCCTCTTCATCACCGTTCTCCATCTCGGCTCGCATTCTAGCTCCCGGAGAACTCATAATTTCTTCGGCAATAATAGTTGCTCTAGCTTCCCGCTCTCTGTATTCCCGTGTGTTACGTCTATTGAGTGGAGTTGTATATCCAACCATGTCAGGTGTGTAGGAAGTAGTTACACCATATTTTTCTTCATTCTTCCTAAACATATCATCCACATCCCATCCATTCTGTGGACAAAGACAAAAGAAAAAAAGAGGATAGTAAATATGTTTATATGATGGCAGGGGTAAGCAGAAGCCAAAAATAAAATAAAAAAAAATAAAGAAAAGAAAAAAAAAAAAGTTACATCTGCACAAATAATTTTCCAAAGCATGCTCAAAATACAGCTGGTCTCTCTCACCGAACTTTCATCTCCTAAAGTAAGGCTATCTTCTGTTGTAACATCACCTTGCCATGGCTCTAGCGGCTTCTCACTCACTTGACCATTAAATCGGCTAATGGTCGTATCTACTTGAAACCCATCTGTAAAGTATAACAGAGTATGAAATAAAACATTGAAGGTGGTAGGGTGGAGATATTTTCTTTTTTTTCTTTCTTAGAATTTACGTCATAGAGCTGAGAAATAATATTAAAATAATAATAATAATAATAATAAGAAGAAGAAGAAGAAGAAAAAGAAGAAGTAGAAGAAGAAGAAGAAAAAAAAAAATAGAATAGATATGAAAACATTACTGCATAAAATTTGTGACTGTATACTTAATCATATGATAAAGTCTCTAAAATTCAGCACAGAACAAAGAAAACACAATTTTGCAATCTAGCATTAAGTCAAAGGTTTTATACTTCAGCAAATAGTTACCCTTAC